CTACAGATGACTTCAGTTTCAACTGCAGCCATCCAGGACAGGGACTCATACCTCATTATCGGCACATCACAGAACCAAAGAATGTGAGAAAAAGCAGGACAAGGTCAAAAGAAGGGCTCAGAGTTTAGGCAGACTCTGAAATGTGGATTTTATTAAACAAAAGAGGAAAGGTATGTTCCAGGTAAGGATGGAGGTGACTGAAGACCCGGCAACCCTGCAGGTAGACCGGTCCTTTGGAAACCTTGAGTGGGTCTGCCTGCTCAGTGGCAAATGGAAGGGTCTTTTTTAGTGAAGAGCTTTTAAGGCTTTTTCAGTTTGTCACTTTTTTAGTTTGTCAGAGATACAGGTGTTCGTCCAAAAAGTGTCTGAAAGATCTATATCCACCTGCCACTCACCTCTGCAAATTATGAGTCACTGTATGAAATTATTTAATCCTTTGCCCCTTTATAAGCAGAAATAAGGTCTTTATTTCTGGTGGGGCACTAAGTCCAATGAGAAATACCATGGCCTTTACAGATGCGCTATTTTTCAAAACCAGTACAACCTTAAAGGAATACTCCAGAGGGTATAAAAGACGTAATCTTACCAGATACAAGGGAAAATCAGTCACTCATTCCTACAAAAGGTCTGATGCAGTCTTGAGTCTGAGCTTTCAATAAATGGAAAAACCTAATTTATTTGTACTAGATATTGCTGCTTCCTAATATAACCCAAAACCTCAGGGACATACTGGTAGTAATGCAAACATAGAATGGTCTTTCAGCCAAGAAATTATTTTGAATTTATCTAAAGCAGAAAGTTATTATGATTCCACAATGGTGGCATGCATTTGTTTGACATTCACCACAGCATACTGGGGACAGAGAAGTATCTGATTTTAGTTCCCATGATCTAACAAAGAAGCTATCTAGGCAACTTGATGCTTAAAGCCCATTCTCCCTTTTAATTCATACCACTGTTTTGTAAATAAAGTGTCCAAACTGTACACAGTAAACAAATGCAGAAAGTCATAGGAAGTCTTTAGAAAGAGATCAAAGTATCTACTGAAGATCCAGCTGCTCAGTTATTTGATGTATAAGAAAAAAAAAACCCAAAAGTCCTTTAAAAGCCCATTTCAGTATTCTAACAAACATTGCATATGAACTTAATCAGTGAAGAGTTGTAGCGCTGTTGGATTTCTCCTGGACTTAAATACCGTTCAGTAAGAATAAGCACATCAATAGGTCCGGTTGTAGAATTTAACACTAAACAATGGCAGAGTCAGCTCAAAATAAAAAATGGATGCACACCATTTCAACTAAGAGGAAGAATAAACTGGAACTGTTTATACAGACTGACTAAAAAACAAGGATTCACTTATGGAGGAGTAATTCAATATAGTGAGGAGTAACAGAACTAATTTATTGGAAGTAAAGTTTAGAATAAACATCATAGAAAACATTCATGCTACTGGTGGAAATGTCATTGTTTAAGATGCTTAAAATTAGGTCCTTAGAAAGAATCATAACATGTATATTGAAGAATGCAACTCTACATTACCTTGTGATCCAATAAAGCACATATTTTCAATTGCTTGTCTGCATTCAAAAGATGTTGCCTAATCTAATAATCAGCATTTTATTCCATCAGAAGTACAAATTTCATAATGAAATTGTATTACTGCATGAATATTACTACTTACTCAAAATCAGATTCTGTGCCATATGCAAATATCATTAGTGAAACAGGACTGATTGATTACTCAGCTTTTGATGGCTTAGGAAGATTCACATAGCCTGACCTTACTATATTTATTTTTTTCCTTACCTATATGAGCTCTGATTTAAAAAAGAAACTACCTGGGAGGTATTCAACGTTAGTTCCCTAACGTGTCGCTATGGCTAACCAGAAAGCTTTTATTAAGCTAAATGGGGAGTTTTAACAAGAAAATGTTATTAGTAGCAGGTAATATTCACAAGGCACGAGAAACCCTGCCTTGACTAAATATTTTTAAATAGCTCTATCGACTCACCAACACACTTTGAGAATGCTGTGGCATTTTTGTAGCCAACCTGAGAGAGAAGGTATATGAGCTCTAAACAAGGAAGAGGAGGAAAAAATAACATAAGAAAGAAACTAAATATTCCCAGATTTCCTTATCCTAAACTCTATCTCTCAGCTTATATTGATTAACCTAAGTCAAGGATCAGAACAGGATATTTTAAAATGAGCCTGAACTTCTGCTTTTCTGCTTTGCTCTTACAGATGCCTCAAATTAATCTGCTTCTAGATGTAAAAGATTAAACGGATGGTTGTCCTTCATTCCCAAAATGAAACTGTAACGCTGTAAGCTTTAAGAGGTAATAGTCTGTATCATGCCTCTAATTTAAACGTTTCAAGTGTTTCTAGTACCAAAATGAAAATATTTTTAGAAGCTATAATGTAGCAGTGTGAAAAGAAAAACAGAAAAATAGAAAAAGCTCTCCTGACTCAAAAGTTGGTATTTAAACAGCTCCAGAAAAAATGACTTACAGAAGATAAGGGTATACCCCTGTCCCACCCATTACCTAAACTGGCAGGAATTTAGATTACTAATTATAAAATGCAAGAAATTCCATAGAATATGGAATTAATTTAGAACACTAATTCCTTTCAGAGGTGAAAATTATGGAGTGGTAGAATTCAGCTTGAATCGCCCTGCAGCATGAAACCAACAGAGGGAATAATCACTGCAGGGATACATGAAAATTGCAAAGACTACCATAGCAAAAATCAGCAATTTAATATAGAGAATACATAATATATGTTATACTAAAATAGCATAATTACAATACCTAATTTATTAATAATTATATAATAGAATACAATACATTAGTAGTATATGTATGCTATATGTTCTATATAATTATGTGATATATTATGAAAGAATTAAAAGTTTTCACCCTCTTCCTTTCCCCTTCCTGCTATGTTACTTTTTTCCCCTCTTCCTCCTCATATTGTCCCTTTTCCTCAGCCTACAGAGCAGTGTACCAAAAGCCTGGTCCGCGCTTAGGTGTTAGCTTAATTGACCAGTAAGTGAAATTTAACTACTTACACTCACCTAATCTCAAGGAGAGCAACATATGGTTTAATTTATTCAAAGGCAGATTACAGTTCTAGCAAAATCAAAATGAAGATTAATTTTAAAGAAAAATTCAAACATTTCAGGATGGCAAAAAACCCTTAAACGTTCCATTTGCAGATGTCCCTGCTGTTGTCTCAGCCGCTGACTGCGGCCATGCCAGTAAATCGCCTGGTGCCAGTTTACTCTGGAAACATGTTCAGGCACTGAAATTCAACAGCAGATTTTTTAGATTGTTAAGTTGTTAAAACAATCGCTGCGACAACCTTGGCCAGCCAATTTTTGCGCTCCCCAACAACCTGGGCATGGTTTGGGAGTTCACGTGGGACAAACATCATTCCTAAGGGGTAACCTGAACGCACCCCCTGGCCTTGGGAGGCCAAGAGAGTATAACAGCATGCACGTGGGTCATTTCATGTCAGCTGGCCTCAGTGTCGACGAATGGTCCGGGCATCATTTAATTTACCACCACAGCCATACCCACTGGCTCTGCCAGGCCACATGTAAGGAAACAGTTATTAACGGCAGCAAGCATAAAGGCTGTTGAATTTAGCTAATGTTAATTACAGATAAAAACAATTTTATGCCCCCTCTCTCTTTCACGTCTTCAGGAGTAGACTCTTCGGCATAAAGTAAGTTTTTTTCTTTATCATTTCCTACCGCATGTCCCAATTCCCCCCACACACAAAGAGGGAAAGGCCATGTAGTTGCACCTCTGTCTCAAACAGCTAGCAGCTCTCTACCCATACAAACAGTGTCTAACCCTGATACGATTACCATAATCCGAGTAAAAATTATGTGGTTTTAGTCATAATAACATTAAACAAAGAGATACAGGAAAGCAACATATCCAGCTCACTCAATTACATACATTTCTGTAAAAAAGAAGATATATATTTTTAAATGCTTAAGATCTGACTTGAACAAACAAAGCTCAGACATTTGAGTTAAAACTGCTGTTTCATAAACACAACTATGCCTTTTACTTTAAGAACAAGTTTGAGTTAAGGGCGAAATGTTAATATTCACTCCTCATTTCCTTAGGGTTTTGTTGCTTTAAGTCAAATGCTTTACTTCACATAAGGTTCCCTGTGTTTCAATTGTAGTATGACTGTTTACTCAACTGGCAGCAGCATACTCTGTGATAAATTAAGTGAACATTTATCAAAGGTAACTTGACAGTTTCAAATGTTAAATGTAAGCATTGTAAGACAAGTACAAATATTTTCTACCTGGAGCTTATATATTCAAATCACTGGATAGATATTTTAATTAATTTTTGCACAATAAAAAATGTTTGCTTATGAATTATTGAAGAACACTTCCTGAGGGAGGAAGATATTAAATGACATGCAATATATTTTAAAGTAGTTTTTACATATAAATAAAATTGAAAATGCTTCTTCTCACGTCACACAAGCAAGCAAGAGACAAATACTCTTTAAAAACGTAAATCCTGACTTCAAGACTTACAGTTAATTTAAATGACCAATTTCACCAGAGTTCCATCAGAGGCATAATGTAAGGGTAGAGGAGTCTTCATTACTATAACTCACTTTATTCTTCATACACTGAGTGATGAATAAATAACACGAAAGAGTAGCCACAGGGTCTGAGGGAATTTTGAGAAAGCCTAAAAGACGTGACCATACATGACAGTGCTAAACCCAAAGAGAGCGCATGTCTGGTGGAAACAAAATAGTTAATAAAATCTCATTTCTTAGACCCACCTAGTCTTCGTGTCCTATTAACAGGAATTCTTAAGGCAACAAGCTGGGAAAGAGGCTGCAGAAATGATAAGAGCAAAATGGTATGTGCCTTCTCATCAACCCTTCACCTTTAAACCACTGAAGCATTTGAACACTTAAAATGCTAATAAAAACTAAAAAGTTTTACTCACAGTTAAAACCAGGTTCAATATTTTTTCCAGCTTCAAGACTGTTTATTGTAATTTGAAAGATGATGTGCAGCAGCAGAAATGATAGACTGGTGAAACACAGAGATTTTAATAATCGTCCTGTATGCCCTAGAAAACAAAATTGTTAGATGGATACAGTTAGTGAAATTCGAAATATTGCTTGCAGGTTTTCAGTATAACACCAGTATCCTGATGAGGCATATTTCTACAGCCAGTCAGTTCCACGTTACTCATGATTGCCCCTTGAGGGGCAATTGCAAAAAGCATCCTTAAATTACAGTGTCTGCTAAGTAACTCTCTTCAGTCACAAAAGCCACTGATGGTTATTACCGGTACAATATTTTCCTTTCACTTTAGCACAGAAAAAGTTTCCTGAGTCTCCCGATAGCAATTTTACATCAAGAATAACATCAGTACGTTTATCACCACTTTACCCAATACAAAGACAAAGTAAGGACAGTAGTATTTCCAATCCTGAGAAAATAAAAACCTATTAATTACTCCTTCCATAACAAATGACAGAAGAGGAGGTGTAACAACATGAAACCTCAGTTTGGCTCAGGCATAGACATACTTTCAAATGAATGCTTTGCTTTGTGCAAACTGCCCTGTTTCTCTTCCTTTAGTAGCTTTTTGAAAACAATCTTCAGTACACACTGAAGGAGAAGACTGTGCCAGATACACTTGGTCATACATTCTTTAAGATTTACTGGATATCTATAGCCAAAAGCCCATAGAAAATGTTTGAAGGAGTCTTTGAAAATGCCTTATAAATCCTTAGGAAAGACTCAACTTCATCACAAGCAGCCAAATTTGCAAGTGATGAATAAATAAAGTAAACTATTAGTACTTCAGAAAATATGCATCTTTAAGACTAGGTTGTCTTGCTAATAAAAGACAACATTGAATATCACCCTACTTGACCCATTTACAATAGAAGTTCTACTTCTTAAGCATTTTATACCTAGATTTTACACCACTCGCTTCATACATTTGAGGGTAATTTTTTAATATACAAATTGAGAAACAAAATGCCAGAAATCTTCCCCAAGATTGTAAGCAAAGCCAATGCTAGGGAGGGCAGAGCTAGCAGAGCATGCTTGGGAAAGGTTCACTCTCTGCACATCCTGGTTTTTTCATACTTTTCCTCTGTATGTCAGTTATGAGCTACTGTTAGAATAGAGGGTGATGGCTAAGAATGAAAATGGGAGATAACTGAGAAAGCGGATCCAAAAGCTCACGCGAGAGAGTCACTCCGTTTGTCACGGCCAGGCAGGCCCATGGGTTAAGAGAGGTGTGCTTCGCCCGGGGAGGAATTTGATTTCTGCAGTCTGTTCATCTGTCATAAAAGTCCTTTAGAAATGTGGCCAGCAGTTTGTCACCCCTTGCACCGTAGGCAAAGATGCAACGGCAGTGGAATACAGAGAGCTAAGGCAGCACTAGGGAATGCACTAGTTAAGGCGATTTTGGTCACCACCGCAGTACATGCACCAATCAGTACGCCCCTCCAAAAAATTGCCTTTAGTCCTCTTACACACTAAATCTTAAATTCTTCAGGAATCGATTAGCACTTGTTACATCTGCCTAACATTACTGCAGTATGATCTTAACTGGAACACTGAGACATCTCTACATGCCGGATGCTTTAAGCATCCAAGTTTTAGGTATTTTTAAACATGGTAAAATGCCACAACAAACATAATAAAATCAATAATGATTTTAAACATGATAAAATATATATAAAATATATATTGCTTTTCTTTGTTAATGCCTGTAACTGGGAGGAGAGTGTTGCTGATTTGATAATTATATCACACTGATTTCATGGATTTTAGCTCAAGTCTATTTCACAGACAAAGAAATATTCTGTGACCGAAAAAAAACCTCTTCCTCATCTGTAGGCTGGCAAAATGATGGCTAAAATACTGTGGACCAGAGCAAAAAATTCATAGCTAGGACTTATGTACCAATATAAAGGTTATTCATGAGGCAAAAAAGGATAGTTCATATTCTGTATCTAGCCAGGAGACCACTTTCTGCTTTATACTCATTACAGTTTAAGCATGTCCTCTACAGTCCAGTTTTTAAAGCACAGAATCAGATAAATATGAGTTAGCAATTTCAGAAAAATTTAACACCTTTCTATCTCACTCCAACAGACTCAAAACTTTTTTTGATACGATCACTATCTTGACAGTGCAAAATGCAATGTGAAATGCACGTAATGAACTTCCCTTTTTTTTTTTTTAAATAAAGAGAGATTAAACAATTCAAACAAATGAAAAATGGTAAGGTCTGTGTATGAATTTCTGTGCTCTGAAAAGGAAGAAGCTACATTCACTAAGCACATGCTTTGTATGAACTTGTTCACTGGTCCTAGCAAATAGGACATCAGAGTCAACACAGAAACTAGACAACTCGGGCTGCAGACCGGTATGAAACAAAGAGTAGATTTTAAATTCTTTGGATCTGAGGCTATTTTCTTGTTCTACTCGTACAGAAGCTGGCCGGTGTCCTGGCTTAGGACAAGAACATCTAAGCACTATAAAAGCATAAATAACAAAACAGCTAATATTTTCAGAATCACAACAGAACAATGAATAGAAGACAATCAGCTACATGTTATTAAATCAGTGGCTAAATGTGATGTCATATGGAATGTAATCCAAGTATTACAGTTGTTTGGCAGGTTTCAATATTTGGTGGTTTCTCCTGCATTACCAGATCCCAGACTCATGGAACTATGAGCGCGCTCCATATTTAATATATGTTAAAAAGAAATTTGTATCTCTTAAAGCTGAAGACAAAAGTTTGAAACCACATACTCCAAGGGATCAACAGCTGCATAAAAAATGCAAAGACAGTCTGGTGATCCCTGAAATTCTGAGTTATAAGCCCTCTTCAGTGCTTGGGAGCGACCAAATCTGTAAACATCAGCACTGAATTTTTCACCAGCACAGAATTGGAATTGGACCATTTTTTGACAAAATTATTTTCCATCAGTCTCTACAGGAAAAAGCAATTGCAATACAATTAGCAAATTCACATTAATTTCCCAAACTGTTTTCATTAAAAAGAAAAAAAAAAGTAAAAATCTTCGATCCACCTTTCAGTATCCCAAAAGTCATTTCTTTCCAAAGTATACCTCAGTTTTAAACTTCACTTTTAAAGCTTGAAAACAAACATATTTGAATTGTAGATTGCATAAAGCATTTTTTTAATGAAGCCTGAACTTTTGCAACTGTCTTCCTTCTAGGAACTGAAAAAAATGTTGAAACAATATCCCTTCTGCACAAAGCTAGGGAGACTTTTAATGGTCTCCTAAGGCTCAGGTTGATAAATAAAGCCACAACGTGCTCGTAAATACGGCAGAAGAAATAGGTCACTAGCAGGCAGCTAGAGGATGTTCAGTGCAGGTTATAGCATCCCTCAAGGGAATTCCTCTGTTCGTGGCCATCGACAAGACAGAACCACCCACAGACCCTGCGGAGCTGCAGCCCTTTGCATGCCCTGCTCTCAGCTGTGTCATCAGAAACTAGACACTAGAAGTCCTTGGAGAAAAATAAGAAATACTATGGCCCTGATTTCAAAGGTTTTGGAAAGACATAAACAAGCTGGGAGAAATGGGAGTTCTAAAAAAAAATCAGTGAATTACTGGATACGTAATTTATGCCAAGGAAGAAGTGACAGATTTGGATAAGGGATGAGTTTCGATTTATAGTGGGGTTTGGATAAACCCATTTGACTGTATTTTAACTTACATTTTTCTTTCTACTGGAAACTTAGTTCTAAATTACACGCAGACAAAATTAACTGCATGTGTACAGGACTAAGCTGGTGAGAAAAGAGACAGCTGAAATTAAACTCCTGAAATAAAACAGAGCTTTTTAAGATCTTTGGATAAAAAAGATTTTTGCTATCCTGCTTTCGCTAAAATGTATCTGTCTTAACTGTGCAATTGCCCTGATGTTGTTGCACGTGAAAATGCAGCTGACATGAACAGGAGCTGCCTGTCCCACAGAGAAGAAAATACATATTGCTCAGAAAGCCTCACTTCCAGAACAGATGCACGAGAGAACAAATGTCCACAAAAATCCAAACACAGGACCGACTGCCTCCTTTTTGTCTTACACGTATAGACTCTTGCACGTCCCTCTGGCTAGCCCTCTGATGTATATAGACTCACTTGTAGAGAAAACACCACCACGACTATTATGAGAAGAGTCTTCTCATACAGTGAAGAAAATGCAACAAATCTACAAAATCAGCAGCAAAACACATGGGTTTGTAGCTTTAGAGCCAAGTTCTGATGTTATCAGCCCCAGTGTACTTCAGCGGATTTGCAGACGGAGAGAGCTGAATCACCGCAGAACCGGCCTGAACGCTTAAGCAAAGCGGGTATGCTTTCAGGTGGGCTGTGCCATTCCTAACGGGTTTCGGCAGGGCCAGAACCTGGCACGTGCCTTCAGAAACGCACCTCGGTGCGTCCAGGAAACACACTGGGAGGCTGTTCCAGCTCTCCAGGCTCTGAAGAAGGCTTCGGGGAAAGGACTTTTTCCCCTCTGACCAGCCCTGACGGAAGCTGGTCCGGATGCAAAGGCTTCATTCCCCTCTTGCTCTCCCGTCCAGCTGCAACACTAAACTGGATTCAGGAGGGCCAAAAACTTTTCACACATGGCAGAGGAATCCATTTTTTATTTTTCAAAGGTAATCCAGCCAAGAGCTGGATTAGTGATGGCATGCCCCCCCAGCCACAGGCATGTAACCTCAGCACAAGCAACGATTTGAATGTACCCGGCTGGGACTGCTGCCTCCAGCAAACACACGCATCTCTTGCCTCCCTACACCATGACTGTACGCAAAGGTGGAGCGCATTCCTCCCTCTGCTGGTCACGACCCTTCCCATGCAGAATAATACATGGATTTATGTTTAGATGGGCAGTGTACACAGGATTGTACACTTGATCTTTTCTGCTACCCCTTCCCTAAAAAAAATAAGAGTGAGTGCAACCAAAATCACCAAAATTTTTTTGTGCATATGCAACTTCAAAAGGGTTGCTTCCAAAAGGGTGTGTGAACAGGACACGGAGTAACCGAATGGCAAATTG